ATGGCTTTCAGGATATACCAGCAGAGGTGAGGAGTTGTGACAGAGACCAGCCTGGCCCACAAAGCCTAAAGTATTTACTATTGGCCTTTACAGAAATAGGTTGCTGGCCTCTGCCATAGGTGAGCCTGAGCCACAAAAACAGAAATCCTCAACACAAGTTCACCAAGTCAGAAATGGCCGGCACAGCTATGAGACTCCCCCACATCCTCCATCTTTCCGCCCTACCTTATTCGAGCAGAGGGTACAGTTCCCGTGCACTCTGTCCCACACATGCATAGCCCCCGCTAGTACTGCACTGCTTTGTCATTTAGTATATTTGTTTGCTGTCTCTGTTTAAAACATAAGCTCCAAATGACAGGAGCCATCAAAGTCCCTAGCGCAGCACAGCCTCTGGGTCTGGGGGAAGGACAGGCGGCCGGCCAGTGCTGAGCCCCGGGGTCCCGTGAGAACCTACCTCCCTGGACCGTGTATGCAGCATGGCGAATGTTGGGGTGAGCTCTGGGGAGGTGTGCTGAGTGCCAGAACAACAGCACTGGTGACGGCCAGTCCAGGCACAGCCACCGCTCTGCTAGGGGAGTTCTCAGCCCAGTCATCCTCCACGTCTTCCTTATTGTCTGGGGATCACTTTCCCCAAGCTTTCTTCTCTCATCACTCATTCTTCCAACTAACTGCTAATGGTCATAGGTTTTACAAGTATCACTCAGTCTGAGGGCCTCTTTTAACTCTCCTCCTTGCGTCTTCCCTCATATGAAACTCTATTTAATAAAATCATATTTCTCAACCTCTTTTTAACTTATGTTCTGTCTATCTCATTTAAGAAAGCCTTCCTGATCCCAGGGTTCTAAAAATATTGTCCAATGTCTTTCCTCCATTTTTTTCAAGCTTTCCTTCATATTCAGATTTGAATCAGCCTGTTTTATGGCTGAGGACACTGGGGCACAGACACACAAAGTGAGGGTTGGCTGGCCATTTGATTCACACATGCTGTCATCAACAAGACAAGCCCTTGTGCTGAAAGCACTTACATGCTACCTACACTGGGACCTCCTTTCAGAACCTGTTCTCATTCAACATGATGCCATAAAGACTTCTCCATAACAATATGTGTGAATCTATTTCTTACGTTTAACTGGCACACTGTGGCCCTTTGTCCAGTCCCTGCCTGGGGAGTGGGGAGGTGTTTTCAAATGCTTGACTATGACAGCCTTGCCACAGTAAGCCTCAACCACATCTCCTTGCACGTATAAACTAGGTGTTCACACTTGCAGTTGCCTAGAAATGCATTTCTGGACTGTAGGTATTAGCTAAATATCACAAAATTACTATTCAAACTGGTTGCGTGTCACATCCTCCCCAGGGTAAGAGTCCCTCCTTAACCACATCCCCATTCCCCCGCGTCATCACACAGCTGGACTTCCACAGGAGGAGACAGAAGTGACTTCTCATGGTACTCTGCATTTCTCTGATCACTGGTAGGCTGAGTACTTTCTCGTGCTCTTATTGTTTGTGCAGGTTTCTTCCTGGGGAATTTCCCCAACATAGCCTGCGTCCATTTTTCTTCCTTATTACTTATTGACTTGGAGGGGCTCTTTCTACAATCTTTCTTATCTTCTAAATTTTCCTAAAATTTCTAATCCATCTGGAATTTATTTTTGTATATGACATATGTTCCATATGGACAACCAATTACTTCAGTGCTGTTTATTGGCTGGTCCATCCTGACTCCTTGTGGGAGGCAGAATAATTGCTTCCCACTCCCAAGAAAGGCACAATGGAATCCCCAGAACCTGTAATTATGTTCTGTTGAAACTGCCAAGGGAAGAGACTGTGCTAGTCAGCTGACCCTGAGGCGGGCAGATTAACCTAGGGTCTGGGTGGGTCCCACATCCTCACAAGGGAGTCAGTCTGAGTCAGGGAGAGATGTAAGACGCTATAGTACTGCCTTTGCAGGTGGAGGAAGGAAGGGACCAAGGGATGCGGACAGCCTCTAGACGCTGGAAACGTTGAAGCAGGAACTCATTCGCACTGCTGAGACCTTGGTTTAAGTTTGTGAGGGTAATGCTCCACTTGAACTTCCAGAGCCATAGGGTAACAAGGGTGCACTCAGTTGCTGAGTTTGTGGTGCTCTCCTAGAACAGCAAGAGGACAGTCACACAGCCCTGTCTGTAAGCTACACTGCCATGGATAGCCTTAATTTGCCCCATTAACTACTCATCTACCAATACCTATGATGTCATGGGAAAGCCTGCATACCAAGAGGCCTCCCTTCTTCAAAACTTGCTCAGCTGTTCTTGACTATGGATTTTTTTAATTAAAAAAAAAAATAGCATATATCTCAAATGCAGTGCATAGGAGAAATAATTTCAGGCAAAATGTACAAGCCAAGAATAAAGTGGTGACAACACAGGGCATGGAAGTGACTCACAGCAGCCAAAAAGGTTTCAAGACCCTGGACTGTCAGCCAGGGGTGTAAAATTTCGGTCGCCTGAAATCCCAACATTAGCAGCAGCAAAGACTTCTATTTCCAGCCAGAATGGGGTAACAGTAACTAGACTTAACTTTCCATCCGAAAAATACATAAATAAAAACAAGAAGCAATGGTTTGAAGACAAGACTTCATGCAACAAAGGAGAGCTCCCTAGGGCAGGAAACAAGACCACAGCCCTGAGACCATCCTGCTGCCTGGGTCTAGCAAGGATGCAGGCCAGGGAAGGGAGAGGCCATCAGAGCACATGGACCCTGGTCTGAGAAGACAAAGCAGAGGGTCCAGGAGACTACAGAAGCTGGTGGTCAAAGGACAGAGAAGCCAACAGGATGCCAGAGAGAACTCTAGATGCTGAGAGGAGCCCCTATACCCTTCAGAGGAGGCAGACCAGGAAAACTACCCAAGGCAGGGAAGAACTACCAGAAAGGACTATAGGGAACAATAACCATGTCCACAGGGCCTGACACCAGCCAGCCGGCAAACCTCCTCCTGCATGGTACACAAGGCACAGTACCTGAAGGTGTCATCATCTGGAAGGGAATAAACAACTCCAGGCTAATGCTGATCTGATCCCACCCAACAAATCTTAACAGCAAGACCCAGAAGGATCTAACCATTCTCAAAGCTTAAGAGTACTTATCAAATGCAAAAAATATTAAACATGCAATAAGAGAATTCCCAACACCTGGATCCACTCAAAAATTATCAGATCTGCAAGAGGCAAAAACATAACCCAAGTCAGGAAGAAATCAGCCAATCAGAATGGTCAGGACCGAGATCAGCCAATCAAAACTGTCAGGACAGAAATCAGCCAATCAGAACCATCAGGACAGAGATCAGCCAATCAGAACTGTCCAGGCTGTGGACGCTGAGAGGTGGTCACTAGCACAGTGAGGCAGGAGGACTGTTTGGTGAGGTGCTGCACCCTGGGTGACTACAGAGAAAATAACATACTGCACACTGCAAAGCAGCTGAGAGGGGATCTCTTATGTTCTTAACACACAGAAGTAAATGTTGGAGGATGGACATACTTAACTGCCTGGCTGGAGCCATCACACTCTACCCCACAGACAGACAATTTTTACATGTTGATTAAAAACTAAGCCCTTTAAAAAGATCATAACTGACAAAGATACTAGAATTACCAAACAAGGATACTGAAGTAGTCATATTTCCAAATAAATGGAAATCTTTTCTCGACTAACTCCGACAGAAAAAGCATGCCTGCCACCTACCACCTTGAGGATTCCAGCAGATATTCTGGCAGCCCAGCAAGTACAGGGGTGCACATTTCAGTTCCACAATGTAAGGCAGGGTTGGTAATGTACTCACTGGGGGTGAACACCCTGGAAACAATCTGCTAAGCACAAAATGTGAAAACTGGAAGAAGCAAACAATTAAAACCTTCAAATGCACTGTTTCTGTGAAAAGAAGAAAACACAATGTGGTTTATCCCAAAGCAATCAACTTAAGTTTTGGTACCTGACAATTATTAGATATCTCAGAAAACCCAGGAAGACCATGGAAACAGCTCTAGGCCAAAGAAGTAAGTGAGCTGCTCCACACAAATCAGTTTCTGCAATGACAGAATTAGGGGCACTTTTGTGCAAGACACAGGATCTAGGGCCAAGAAGAGGGGGAAGTCCTCCCGGGACACCTGGTGTCAATCGCTGGAGGAGAGCCACTGGAGAATTGGGGGGCGGGGGGGGGCATGGTGTTCTGTTCTATGAGCTTCCCTTCCTGCCATCTCAACCACCTGCAGTCAAGGGCTCCTAAAACCTTGTTTCAGATGGTCAGAGCTCCAGAAGCCCTAAGCTGAGGCTCAGGGCCTTGCTTCCTGAACACCCCCTTTTAACTTTGTTCCTCACTTCACTACAGATGGAAGTCTCAGTCAATGCTCAGGTCCAAAGTAGGAGCCCTGACACAGCACCCTGGATGCAGCCAGAATGCTAAACTGACACCCAGCAACAGCTATTCAACCCCCTACTCACACATGGACCTGCCACCACCCACAGGAGGACTAAACCTCTGCTGAGGGTTCTGGCCACTTGCACCTGTTATGATTCCTTCCCCTAAAACCACATCCTGAGAACACCAATTCCAGTATCAGACCACGCTCCAAGGTGAGGGCAAGGATGGCTACATTACTGTGAAAAGCATAGCTGGTAGTCCACAGCTTTCAGACAACCTGACTCTCAGGCTGCACATTTGCAGGACATGTGAAGGGCCCTGGTGGGCATCCCTGATGGAGCAGTCCACAGGCACTTGTCAGGGAGCTGACAGGTAACTGAACCAACTGGTGGCTGAAGCACAGGTGACATACTGCCAGCCCACACATCATCACACTGTCCAACTCCACACCATCGTCTTAAGCAAAACCAACTAATTAACTCAAAGCATTCTGAAACAATTAGCTCATGAATGTGACAATGACTGTGTTGGACTAAGCAGTTTTCCTGGGAACAGAGGAAGTGATGCTATGTGCTTGAAAAGTCAGCTCTCTGGAAACACTTACCTGAGGCGGACGTGGGTGGCTTTCTGGAGGGCTGCCACTCTGCCTTGGGGCCGTTGGTATGCTCTGCGGGGGTGTCCAGGCGCGCTTCCATGCTCAGCGAGAACTGGAAGTGGATGGTTCCTGACTCCACCTGCTTCACCTACAATGGACCCCTTCATCAGCAGCCCCTTCAGTGCCTCTCCAGGACAACCACCCACCCTCAAACTGAAGTCACATGTTCTTACACCATAGTCAGGTATTCTTCAGAGCAGAGCAGTACCCAATCAGTTATGGTGTTATCACAGAATGACAGTTACCCAGGTAGAAGTATATTTTATTATATTTAATAAATCACTATATATTTCTTTTTAACTAATATATGGTACTGACCCGTGTGTATGCAGTGCTACACGTTTTAACACACACACAGAATCATGTACCTGGCACCACAATGAGAACTCAGACAGCTCCACCCCTTGCATTAAGGCCACACCATACCCACCAGCCCTGCCAGTCACTGCTGGCCTCTCCAGCCCTACAGTTTGGTCTTCTTGAGAATGTTATATATGCAAAGTCATATGGCTTTTCAGCCTGGCTTTTTCACTCCGTACAGAGCCATGCGTTCATCCACCTTGCAACACACACACTCACAGCTCATTCCTGCGTTGCAAACAGGTGAATCATAGTCCATTCACCCATCCACCGCTAGGAACATCAGCATTGTTTCCAGTTTAGTGCTGTCAACAGAGCTGCCATCAACCACAGTGGTGTGCAGACTTCTGTGTGAACCTAAGCTTTCATTTCCTTAAGACTAGACTGATAGTGAGTACAGTTTGTATAGGTTAAATTTTCTAAGGAACTTTCAAGCCATGGTTTCCTTTGCTCCTAAGTCTACTTTAGCTGAAATGAATAAAGCTACTTCCGTTTTCTCTTCACTCGTGTTTGCATGGAATGTCCCCCAGTCTTTTCCTTCTAAACCTGAATCATTATATTTAAATCCTTATAGTCGGTATATTGTTGGGTCTTGCTTTTCTTTCAGGCTGCTGATCTCTAACTTTACAAGATGTTCAATGACTTCCATTTCATGTAATCATGGGGATGCTTGCACTCAGAACTATCATCTTCTTATGACTTGCTTCTTCTGGCTTTTCGTTCTTGTTTCCCCTTTCCTGCTTTCTTTTGAACTATTCCACTTGATCTGTCTGACTCTTGGTATCTTATTTTTAGTGGCTGATGAAACAGTATCTTATTATTTCAAGTGGAATGCAGAAACTCTATCATCACCCAGCCCCCCCACCTTACACCGCAGCTGTCTTACCCTCTGATAGCTACATGCGTGAACATCTTAAACACTGCTATGACTTTTGCATCACCCTTCCAGCACAGGTTACAGAACTCAAGAACAGAAGACTGTTGTATTTCTCATTTCTGTCCCTCTGCATTACCCAATGCTCCACATTTCTACCTGCTATCATCTCCCTTCTGTGTGAAGAAATTTAGCAATTCTTTGGGAAGATTTCTGCCTGCCAATGAATTCTTAGCTTAGTTCATCTGATGACATAACACTTCTGTTCCTGTGTGATTCTTGCTAAACATATAATTCTGAGTTCCAAGGTCTTTTGTTAGCATTCTTTTCTGAACAGTAATGGAGTTTGAACTCAGGGCCTTATGCTTGCTAGGAAGAAGCTTTACCACTTGAGCCACACTCTTTTGACTTTAGTGATTTTTTTACCAGAGGCTGACCTCAAACCACAATCCACTACCTATGGCCTCCCAGTAGCTGGGAACACTGACACATGCCACCACGCCTGGCTAATTTGTTGAGACTAGGGTCTCACTAACTTTTCACCTGGGCTGGCCTCAAACCATGATTTTCCTGAACTCTGCCTCTCGTATAGCTGGGATTACAGATGTGAGCCACCATGCTCAGCTTATTAGCACTTTTAAAATGCTATTCTATTTTCACTCTAGCCTCCAGAGGAATCCACAGCCATTCAAGTGACTTCTATTACTTTTATTTCTCTGTAAACAATGTACCATTTTTCTATGGCTGTTTTCAAAAATTATGGGACATATTTTTCTATTTATTTTCTAATATTTTCTATTTTTCTTTGACTAGTACCTGCCACCCACTCCTACTCAACTGTCAATTCCATGAGATCAGGGATATTTTCTGCCTGTCCACGTAGGTGCTCAGTTAAGGTTCACTGAGTGAATGAACAACTGAGTGAGAGACAGGGTTAGCTGGGCCAGGGCAGAGGTGAGTCAGCTAGCTTCCCAATAGGTCTGACCTGACAGGCACTGGACCTGCAAAGAAACAGGGAAGAACTGGGGTAGAGCTTCTGCTTCTAAGGCACCAGGGAAGAGATAGAGGCTGAGAGCAGTCTAGTTCACCATCGTGTTCATTGGCAGTGGTCCACAGCCAGGTCTGCCTTCCAGCAGTCACAGTCAAGGAATGTTGGTGTCCAGTGGTAGGAGCCAGGGATGCTACTGTATCTCCTCCAACAACACAGGATGCCCCAGCCAAGAATGTCAACAGTACTAAGTCTGAGATGGCATATTTCCAACTGACATTCTTCATGGAAAATGGCAGCATTTGTGACGCTATGACCCTAAGAGAGTCAAGCCTTCAAAACACTCAACTCCAATATGGTCTACACATTTAAAAGTGAAGGCACACCAGGTATGATGGTGCATGCCTATAATCCCAGCACCAGGAAGGCTGAGACAAGAGGTTCGAGGCTAGCCTGAGCTACACAGTGAGATCCTGCTGGGGGTAGGGAGAATGAAGGCAATGAAATGACATGACAAACCAAGAAGTAAACAGAATACACACACACATACACACATACACACACACACACACACACACACACAGAGTACACATACAGGGGAGGGGGGGAGGGGAGGTACAAGGAGAGAGAATGGTAATGGCTTCAGGATTTCTGATGGCAATTTTGCAATAAAGCTTCAAACTAGACCATATGGGAATGCAGCAAAATATGGTCCTATAATGAGAGACATTCCTTATGATAAGAGAGCTGCACAATCAGCTGTTCCCTTATTCAGGTCCCCAAAGCATTGTCCAAACCATAAATAACGACAATGAGAATAACATCTGTCGCTAGAGTCAGCACATACTGAAATAAGGGTAGTCCCTTACCTGGGAAAAATGAGACAACTGAGTGCTCGAGATGCCTGTGTGCACTGCTGAAACAGCCTACTTTAGGGATGTGAGTGAGGAGCCACTCAGGGGCCCTGCCACATCTTAAGAGGGTCAGGAGGATGCCCAGCACTGGCCAGAGCAGAGCAGCAGTTCCATACCTGTCTGCAGTGCTCTGGGGCTCTGCTGATTGTCCTCCAAGACCCCCGTAGGGTAGGACCTTGACCCCCACACTCACTTTTACCTACCCTGCCCTGCTTTTGCTTGTTTCCCAGGTTACAGTTCAGAGAATATTTCATTTCAGAATAATTTTCTCTAAAATCTGAGACTCTACCATGGGCCTGACACTCTTTACACAGCTGAGAAAGCCAAGGTCCAGGGGGAGTAAGTTACAAGTCACAAAGACCAGCCAAGGCAGAAGCCAGAGCCCCGAGTACTAATCCCACTCAGTCTCCTGGCAAAGGCCGTAACAGCCCTTCTCCAAGGCACCAACTGTGTGCACAGGGCAGAAGTGAAGCTCCTCACAAAGTGTGCACAAAGCAAAGTGTGCACAAAACGGCCCCTCAAGGCACCTCCAGAGGTCAGGATGTGAACAGACACTATCACACCCATGATGAGACTGGCCTCATCAAGTTCACATCTGGCCACGACTCAGCAATCACCTGTGTCTTTTCATAGGTACGTCCATGGCATGAGATGGCAGCAAATACATTTGTCAACTTCTGGTTTTGAAAATGAATAACCTTGCTAAGAGCACACCAGAGAAGAATCACACATAGGAAGTGTCTATGGTTTACCTCTTCAGAGCTCAGGCTGGCTAAAGGTGCTTGGTAGACTAGGCAGTGAGATGGGTTGGGCCAGATCCCACCCTGCAGAGGCAAGGTCGCCCTGCCAGAGCCGGCTTCTAGGACAGGGTTCCAAACAGCCCAGCGAACCATGTGCATGCATGCCAAGTTGGAAAAAGAGGTGGCCGAAGCTGCCTGGAATTGAAACAAAGCACGTCTGTATATGAGTTATCAAACCATACAGTCACACATAAAATTTAACCAGAGCTCAGTGTGGCAAGGAGCAGGGCCCACCATTTGTTTTTCACAAAAGGACACGGCACCCACACTGCACAAAGCCCATCTGACCCCATTCCCACCCACACAAGCCTCCTTTTCTGCCTCATGCATGAGTGGCATCCCCCTATTGCCCAGCGCTGTGCCCATGAGATCTTCCTACAGGTTTGTAAACACTGTGCCTTGCCAACTCCTTCTCAAACACAGCAGTATGTTAGCAAGAAACGCTGCAAAATAATGAAGAACGTGGGTAGACAGTCAGCGTAGGATTGTTCACACACATTTTCTTCAGTAACATTTCAGCTTAAAATAGTAATTTCATCAGTGTGACTTTATACAAAATTGAGAAATCATCTGGCCAAATCTGATGTATTGTTCCTTCCTTCACCTTCTCTGTCACTGGCCAGAAAGGAATAAGGACCTTGAGGAAACTCTTGGGTTAGAAACCACACTTAGAGAAGACATTTTCACAAATATGGTTCCAGGGCTTGCAAGTTTAAAGTTGCCACTTTTATCCAAAGAAGGAAGAAAGAAGAAGGAAGGAGACAGGAGGAAGATGAAGAGGACGGGAAGAAAGAATGCAGGTGGGCTCCAGGTCCTTGTGGAGACTGAAGTACCACTCGGCCTGGGCAACGAGCCTCATGCTTCATCACCTCACAGGGACTTCAGGTGATGGCCATGAACGAGGCCCTGACTGCAGGCTGTCTAGTACGTGCAGCATATTTACACCATCAGAAATAGAGATTCTCAGAGGTCCACAGGTACAGAAACACTGGTCAGATGGGGACACGGTGCATCATGCAGAGACCCATCCAGACCTTACAGCCTGCAAGTGCCCAGGGGAAGGAGCCACCAGCCTACTTCTGCCACAGCACCCCCAGCGTCCATACCATATCATGCTTCAGAGAAACAGCCCAATGGCAGTAGGTGGTGAAGAAAATTTGAACACAGGGTTCCACCTCCTAATCCTGTCTTCATGGTTAGCAGACAGTCATGACCCCAGGGACAAGGAATGCAAAGAATGGGCTAGCTGCCCACTGTTCCTAGGCAACAAAATTAGGGCTTCTGGGTGCAGCTAAGAAACCCAAGGGCACCAAAGACACAAATCCAGGCAGCAGGCACCACTGCCACGTGGCCACAGGGAGGGAGCAGCCTGGAAGGTAGGTCCTCCTCAACCTGGCAAGAAACAGAAGCCATGCCTGCCTGAGACTGGCACAGCACCATCCACAAACCAAGGGGGTATACTACATGCTGACGCAAGCTGTGTCAGAAACCAATGAGGGCAGCAAGGCTCCAGCGGTGGCTGGGAGCCAATACACCTTGCTCGTTTGGCTAGAGGCCACTGTTACTACCCAAACTTGCTACACATGGACCCCAGCAAATCCCACACACTCACACACGAAAAGCCTCTGGCTGGAATCTGGCACAAACACCTCTCCTGGGGAAGACAGGCAAGTTCATACAATCTGAACACAGGCATTCTCTTCCACACTGTTCCTTGCCGGGTGGCATCCCATATGGCTATATGCTTTATATCCATTGTGGGACAACCTCCAGAGCATACGTCTCATTTTGAATTGCTCTCTCCTCCCCTCTAACTAGACCCTGACAGAGCCCAGGCTGACCCTTCCCCCCAGTCAGACTTTAGATGGAGAGTTAGGACACGGCCATACTCGCCCTCTGCCACAGGGTGAGCAGGGCCATTCAGTGAGGAAAAACCCATGGCCTGGAAACACAACCAGAGAATGAGAAAAGAAAGAAACTGAAGCCAGAGCTCTACCACACTCCAACATCTGTCAGCCAAAGTGGGCATCCACCTCCGCCTGTGTGCCCACTGGCTGGATAGGAGATTGTAGGACGTTCCCAGCAACTGCAGGGCGTCGATGGGGAGTTGGTTAGGAATCCTCTGCCTTTTGCAATAAAATTATCACAAATGCAGTATGGAAACTGGCCACCAAAACACTCAGAATTCAGTGATGTCTGGATGGACAACTCCTGTAACAGCTGACTGCTGAGGCACAAAAAGCTCATGACAGCATCAAAAATAAAATTTAAATCCAAGTGCTCCTGTTTTGGGGCAACTCCTCAGGTTACATTTTTCAAATTACGTGATTCCAATATCTAATTTTCCAATTACACAGAGCTTTTTCAGGTTTTCCTTTTTGGTCCTCAGTCAATATAAATCTCTTGTTACATAAATTTCCATTTTTTCTTACTTTTGTCTTTAACAACCTTAACAAAGAGATGGCTTGTGAGTTACCTCAGTTGGACAAGGACCTGGTAGCAATGCAACCCTGATGTTGCCACCTACTCTCCATTGGCTCACAGAGCCATCTGCTATGGGAACTTTCTCCATTGGCTCACAGAGCCATCTGCTATGGGAACTTTCTAAAACTCCCTGCACCAAGGAAAATGCTGAGCGCCCCCACACATGTGCACACAGCAAGAGCAATTACACAACAGACTCCTGCTGTCAGAAAATTCTGGTGGTCAAGATTGGATCCAATAGCTCGGTAGAGTGGTACACCCCTATAGTCCCAGCTACTCAGGAGGCAGAGGCAAGAGGATCACTTGAGCTCAGGAGTTCAGAGCCAACCTAGGCAACACAGGGAAACCCCATCTAAAAAAACAGATCAACTACTCTGTAATTCCTGGGTTATAAGCAGAAGCGCCAGCCAAGCCACAAAAAAAAACCACTTGACCTTTGGAAACACTACAATCCAGAGTCTCTGTGGGGGGCCAACAGTGGCCTGGACCCTTGGACTGTGAATTTACTGGGGACAAGGGCCCGTGGCAGAAGCAGCCAAGCATCATGAGGTGAGACCCTCCTTAAGTACCCACAGTGGCTCTGAACCCAATGGCAGGTGTCCCAGTAAGAGCAGGAGAGACCCGAGATAGAGCCAGAGGAAGAGACACTGAGAAGATGGTCACATGCCGACTTGCACAGGAGACAGTGGGGCAGCCACAGTCAAGAACTGACCTGCAAGTGCAGGAAGGGCCTCCTCCAGAGGCCGTGGAGGAGCAAGGCCTGCCACACCTGTACTGACCCAGCAGCATAACTGTGGATCTGTGGCTTCTGGAAAGGTGAGAGAATAAACCGCTGTTCCAAGTCACTGGGCTGTGGTACTTGGTGGAGCAGCCCCAGTGCTCGGTCCTCAGGTTAACAAACGTAAAGACAGGCTGGAACTTCATGTCACTTCGTGAGCTTTGTTTTCTTTAGGTTTTCAGTGAGAGCTCTTTACTTCCCCTGGGTCACCACATCACTGACTCTGGGCGGGTTCCTGACGGACCCTTCAGCCCAGGGATGAGCACACAGCAGAGGTGACAGTGACATCCTGTCTGGGCAGAGGGAGTGGTGTGGTCCACAGCACTCACACTCACTGCCACTAAGGCCACTTCCAGAGACAGTTGGGCCCAGAGGACAGAAGCCTTGATGAAAACAACAACACCAGGCATTTGGCAGAACACAGAAAGACAAACTACCTTATCAAAGGGTCTCTGAGTCCAGGTATGGTGGCTCATGCCTGTAATCCTAGCCACTTGGGAGGTGGAGATCAGGAGGATCATGGTTCAAGGCCAGCCTGGCCAAAAAGATCTCAAGGCTCCATCTCAACCAATTAAAAAGCTGGGTATGGTAGTGCACAACTGGCATTCCAGCTACATAGTAAGGATAAATAAGAGAATCATGGTCCAGATTGGCCCAGTCATGAGTGTGAGACCCTATTTGAGAAATAAAGCAAAAAGGGCTGGGGGGAGTGGCTCAAGTGGTAGAGCTCATGGAAGGACCTGAGTTCAAACCACCAAGGAAAAAAAAAAAGGTCTCTGAATGTTACCAACTCCACACAAATCACAGAGGGAAAGGGAGTAAGAAACCAAAAAGAGAGACAAGATTTAGGTACTCATCACACAGATGAGGAGACAGGGAGGTGTAAGGAGCTGTGGAGACCGAAGCTCACAGCCTGGCCTTGAAGATGACTACACATCCTGAGTAGTCCTCTGAACTGTCCTCTGAACAGGTGACCCAGTGGATAGACTGAGACCCGAGTAGGGATGTAAACGAGGGAGCAGTGGCAGGTGGTGAGCCAGGTGTCCACAACCTGCAGGACAACTAGGCAGGCAGAAGCACTCTGCTCTCAGACGCTGGTTGAGTCCAAAGATCGCCCTGGACAACACATCTTCTGGCAGTCCCCATAAAGGATACCAGGGTCTTGGCCACTAAGGTGACCTCAAAAGGGCTGAGAGACTAAAACCACCCAGGGAAAGAGCTGGGAAAGAGCTTTCTTTGTTTTTATGGAAGTCATTTCACAGGTGAAGGCTTGCACCTTCACCTCTCCCCCCAACACCAGTCTTCCAACAGAAGGTCACGAACCAGGCAGCATCCATAACATCTGAAATTGGTCCACATCAGAGGTACAGTGAACCTGGCAGCTACTGGCAGCCAATTTCCTTCACATACATTCATGGGAGAAAGGGAAATCTAACAACACATAATAAAAGTCCTCTGATCTCCATATCTGACCTGGTGTAGGTGGTATCACTACAGACCATCGCAATCATTTAACAAGCAATATTTTCAGTTCATTCTGCCAAGTACAGCAAGTATTTTAGTCATCTACTAAAATGAAAGAAAGCTCTACAACCTGGTGCTCCGACTGGCTAATGGGTCACAAAACGCTGGCCTTGTTGGCCTCTTTGCAAAACAGACATGAACCTGACAGCAACTGAAAGCAGCAAGAGTAAAACTGTCCAGAGTTGGCGATGCAACTATGAGAAGGACAGGCAGGTGGCGTCCCGCTCAGAGACTAGGTCAGGCCCTGGGACCATGCTTCTGCTTCTCCTGTAGAGCCTACCCCTGCCTAGTCCTGCTCCCTGCCCCTCTCCAGCTGGATCCTACAAAGCCAACGGTTGCTGGGCTCAGG